GCTCATGGGTGGAAGGATTAAACCCTAGTTGTTGTTCCCCTCACTCATTGCTTTCCCTTTCTTTCCTCGATATCCTTGCTCTATTTTTGAAAAAATCAACAATAAAACAATCTCCTTCTGTGAATCTCACAATAACAATCTCGTTCTCCTCTCTCAGCTCATTATAACACTCTCTCTGTTCTTTCTTCCACTTTGATCGGATAACAACAAAATACTTTCTCTATTTTAAAACAACAACAAAAGAAAATGGAGGAACAAAAACAACCCTCACTCTGTTCCAAACTCCGGGTTAACCTCTTTTCCCTCTTCGAACAACGACAGAGCTCTCTCCATGCATCATTCAATTACTGTTTTAAACTTTAGCTACAACAATGATATACTCAGTTTGAAGCCTCTATATGCTAATGGCCTCGCTTGAATTTCTACTCATAGGTAAACACTAAATCGATTTCTCTGTTGAAACTTTGTTTTAATAAAATGAAGTATAACACATCCTCAATGCAGTGATACGACAATAATAATATGAATATGCACACGGGTGATTCATAAATGACAGCATGGAAAATAAAACTTAAGAGATCATCCATTCAAAAAAAATAGCAAAGTATTATGAAATCGTTACCAATTCAAAAGTTATCAAAGAGACGATTCCTCAAGGCAAGTCCTCCTGTTGCTATTGGTTGATTTTCTCCTTCGTCTAACCCTTCTTCTTTTGATGTTATATGGTTTTTGTGTGAGTTATTATTGCAGAGAATGATATCATTCTTTTTGTTTGTAGAAATGTGGAGGACATACAGTTTATCGTGTAGGTTTCGAAGGGTTGTAAGAAGGTGTTTTGGTGATGTTTATGAATAGTTATTGAAGGCTCTGTTCTGAAAAAATGAAGAGTTTTAGTTGTAAAGTTTTGGTATGTGATTCAACATGGGTTAAGTTGAGTGAAAGGTTGAGAACAAAGTTTGGAGAAGAGTTTTTGTGGTGTTTTATTGCCTCCCAATGTTTCTAGCGCGATCAATATTTTTTTCTACTTCTTTTCTTTCAGTTTTTTGGCTATGTGTCGTTTCAGTTTATGGAATGATGCGGTTGTAGTAGTGGCAGATGGTTCTTGTTACGTTGGTAAGATCTGAAATGGAGGGTGATATGATTTTTGTGTAGAGGTTTTGGTGCTGTAATAGAAGGATTTTTGGGTTTAAAGAAACAAAGATCAGATTGTTCGTGTGAAAATCAGGAGGGCGGGGGTTGCTAATGCCCGTCCCCTCTTCTTTGTTCTGAGCTGCTCTATTTATAAGTAAAGAGGTGGAAAAAATTTGGGGGGAAACTTCATGAGTTTAAACATATGTAGTATGTTGACTCTAGCTTTCTCATTGCAAGTTTGGGTTTACCTATTTTGATGTCATTTTCAGGCTGTTTGTGGATTGATGCAAGGTTATGTTATGCAGGTTCTGGCAGGTTTTAGATTGTTGTATTTGGCCAATTTGTGGACTAGTTTTGGAGCAGGTTATGTAGAGGTGTGGACAGCAACATAGCAGTTTGATAGCAGGATTGTTTGGACAGGTTTAAGCCTGGTTTGCAGTAGGCTTTGGCAGGATTGCAGCAGATTGATGCAGTTTTGGGACAACAGCCTGTGCTTGGGCTGTTATGTTTTAGGTGACATCTTTCTAACCTTAATCTTTTCCTCTTTTTCTGTCTATGATGCAGAACTATTGTTCTTCTTTTCTCATAACTTTCTGAAGGGTTTATGCTTTTAGGAAAATGATGAACAAAACATGGAGTTTTGGGGTTGTTTTGGCTTGTTGCATTTGGGTGTTACTGTAGACAAATTGCTAGCAGCAAGGCTATGTTTTCGGAAATGCTTTTTTGTTGACTTTTGTTTTTCTATTCTGTGCAAGTTTTGGATAGGTTTTTAACTGTTAATGTGCAGGTCAGTAGGTTTCGGTTTTGGGACTGTTTTGGATGACTTCGTTGCTGCAATAACTGATTTTTTGAATTTCCTTTCTGATTTGCAAAACTTGCTTTTTACACCTCTTTTTTTTTTGTGAACCGAAATTTACCTTTGTGATTTGCAATTGGAACATGGCCCATGATTTAAAATTCTGAAATCTGATTTGTATGAGGCTTTGAATTGGGCTTCGCACATGATTGAAAACACCCTCAAAATTTCTGATTCCAAGCATAAACCCTCATGATGAGTCTAAAAGAAAACTTTGCTTGTAAACTTCTTGTCCAAATTACGATTGAACTAACCCATTTCTTGTTTGTTTTTCTTTTTCATGTTATGATTGTTGATTGGAAGGTGAAGAAGGTGAGACAAGGTTGAAAACTTGAAGAAGAAGTCATAGCAAGGCGTGAGATAATTCGCTTGAAGATAGAGCAAAGAAATTTGAAGAACAATTATCTTTTCTTTGTAACCAAGATACTTGTAACTTGTATTTCAACTTTGTAAATTTCTTTGTAAAATGCTCCAAATGTAATGAATATGAAACTTGAATGTCTTCTCTTTGAATTTATGAATGATGAACTTATTATATGGAAATTGGATAAGTCTTGGACTTTTGGTTGAATCTTGAATGATATTTGAATCCCGAATTTCGATTGAAATTCCTTTGATGATGAATATGCTTGATAGAAGCCACTTTTGAAAATAACTTTGAATCAAGGTGGACTTCGTTTAAATTGAATGATGATGAATGGATAAAAACTTGAATGAATCTCAAAACAATCACTCGAATGAATCCAAGTTCACAACTTGTCTTCAAATTTAAGTGCAAAACTTCTTGCATTAGAACGACAAGTGCTTGAGGAAACAAGAACGTCTTGATTACAATGAACCTACAACATTATTTCTTGTGCCAGGATTCAATGTTCATCAATTTAACCTTCAGACTCTTGAATTGGTGACTTAAAGATCTCAAGAAGAAAACTTGAAGTGTGAGGAGATATTTGACATGAAGTCCCTAACCAAAGGACTTTCAGTTGATGCATGTTTACAAGCCCAATCATGATGAGTATCAAAACCCTAATTCATGGATAGATGAATCACGATCCTCAATGAATCAAAAACCTCTTGACTTGATGAAAATATATCTCAATGCACCATATGATAGCTCTCGAGGAAACCTTGTCTGAACTGATGAACAAACATAAATGCTTAGGTAACTTGATTCACTATCCACAGAGAAAGATCTTGAACCCAAATATACCAAAAATCTTAACTATTTCCAACCAAGAAGTTAAGAGATCCCATCCTACTTGAAAATGCTAAAGGCATGATGCTCGAGGTAGCCAAGTTACCAAAACCCCAATTCACGTGATTCACTTGTTGAAACACTTTGAACAAGCCCTAGACATTAGTGATCTTGGAGAAATCCATAATAACCATACTTCAAAAACCTAATTCTACATAGTCCACTGCTCAAGAACCAGATGAAACTGCCTTTAACTGATGAAGGAACCTCAAAACCAACATGAAACCCTAGTCTTGCATAAATACTGCTTCTTGAACCAAAGTACTTTATTCAATGAAATGCGTGATATGCAAATAAGCTAGTGGAGATGGTGTAGATGAAATGCGAAGTCTAAGCCAGACAAAAGTAAAAGGTAGGACAAATTTGGAGTATGACAATTATCTCCGACGGAGTTGGGCAATTTCCCCTTTTGGGTGATGTTTCCCCGACAATGGAGCTGAACTTAAGTCATCATCCTTTCACCTGAAAGTAATAACTTGGGGAGCTCATGTTCTGGACTGGGCCGACACTTGCCCCACTGTTGGGGAGGCCCAATCCAGTGCCTTTACCAAAGGCCCAAAAGCATGCAATCTAATCTGAGAACTGTTGGGAATTTCCCCACGTGTCCTCTAGGAGAACATAGTCCATGTGTCCACATCATCATCGTCTTTCCCTTCGTAAATAACGGGTCCAGCTCCTACTTTCTCGGGGCAGTTGGCCAGGAAGGAGGCCACATGCTGAACTCCATACACACGTAAACCCTGTCAGTCTTCGTTGTTGGGCTTCATCATGGCCCGTCATTGAAGACCTTGGCCCAACGCTGAGGGCTATAAATATTCTCTCATTGAGAGGGCCAGGTATTCATAATCACACTCATTCTCATACTTGTTAGCTCTCGTTCTGAAACTTACTTTGGCATCAGAGTGTCTTGCAGATATTAAGTAAAACAATAGTTCCTAAAACATATCAATTGTAACGGTTTTAATTTGAGAATAGAGTGCCATCATTACTGTTAGGAATTGTTCTTTAAAGAAAATTAAAACAATAGTTATCTGCAAAGCATTGTCGTTGAGTACAAAAACTGTTGTGAAAACATAAAGCAACGTTCCGATTTGGTACGGCCTGAAAATTGTCCTCATAGATAAAGGCAATGAATTTTTTCAAATTTTGCAACAATTTCTTGCATTGTAGTAGACAACCTTTCGGAAATATATAAGTTATTTTTTGACGTAACCGTTTATGAGGCGTTGCTTCGATGTCAAATATACAAGTTATCGTAATAAACTTGGTATCATAGACAACCTTTAGCAAATATATATTTAAAATTTTCATCTACTGCATTCTCTTAAAAGTCTTCATTTTCCCTCTCTTCTAAACTCACAAACAGAAAGAAAAAGAAAAACTGTAAGATAACCTACTAGAATGACCTCAACATGGCAACACAAATATTGAATCATAATCACAAGAACTTTCATGATAAATACACGTTCTTTTCATATATACACACTTACATAACCTCCAAATTGAAATTTTGATCTTCAGTTTACTTCATACATCATAAATTAAAATTACTCACATTGCCTCGTAAATAAAGATATAGAAGTAAACAATTCATAGGAAGAAAAAAAATGCAACAACAACTACAAACATATAACATTTAAAATCCAACAATGAACAATATCATAAGATTGTTTTACATAGCCTCTTAAACTATAAGAAAATATAACATATAATATAATAAATAAAGTGACGATGATGATGATGATGAAGCATGATTAATTATGGCCCTAAACGGTAAGGTCCATCAGGCATGTAATGACCATCCATATAAAGAGCTGCACTCTGTGGATGCAGTCCATCCATCACCATAAACTGCATGTCTTCAGATGGTTTCCAGTGCCTCTTTCTTTGATTTATAAACCAGTTATTTATTTGCTTCTGATCCAAACCTGTTGATTCAGCCAATGCCACTTTCTCCGATTCCTATAATCATAAATCCGACAAGAACATAACTATCGTAACGTATCGTAACGAAAGAAAGAAAATATTTTATTTTCAGACTCACTGAAAAACTGACGTATCCGAACAGTTTATCAGTGAGTCTGAAAATAATACTAGTTTTTAGAGGAGTAAGGGTTTGGACATTTGGAACTTACTGAAGGGTATGGCCATTTGTAGTGCAATTCCCACCAGTTGAGTAGTTTTTGTCTAGCTTCTTTAGGGAGTTTTCCTTTCTTTTTCTTCTTGGAAAGTTCTTGTTTAAGACTACTTAAGTAACCACTGTATTTCTTCAGGAGATGGTTTTTCAGTTCACGGTCTTCCGCTCGAGGATCGATTTCTGGAACTTGATCGGTTTCTCCACCACTGTTCTCTTGTTCTTCTTCTGATGAACCAACTCCTTCATTTTTATCATCTGCCTCAACAATAATCAATAGGTGAGCAACTTTTGATAATGACATCCATTTTCATTGGAATTGCAGGGTTAGGAAAAAACCACTTCATTTTTTCATGAATAATGTAATTAATCAATAAACAAATTTAGATTATATGTAAACACTCCTAAACTAATTCATTCTCTTAGACTCTATTTGGTAATTATTTGATAAATTTGAGACCTTGATCACATAGTTAACTTATACTTATAAAGTTCGCATCTAATCCTTCAACCAATATCACATCATCAAGGCTAGGTTGTCCTGTATAATCCAGCCTTCTAACACCTATTACTTTACCTTTTGATCAATCTCCATAAGTCACAATTTTAGTGAAAGACATTTTGATTCCCACTAGGAATTTCTTGACACTTGTCATGTGTCTAGAACAACCACTATCAAAATACCATGCTCCTCAAGTTGATGCTTTGAGAGAGATGTGAGTTACTTCATTAGACGTACCATTTTTATGAATATACCCTTTTTCTTTATTCACACTTTCTCTTCTTCAAGATTATGGTGCAGATTTGAGATATCCATATAACTTGTAGCAGTAAGGTTTTGAGTTACCAACCTTTATGCAATAAGAAAATTTTGTTTTTTAGATTTTTTGGATAATCAATATATCTGGTTTATACAGATATATTGGTTATTCAATGAATCTAAAACACTGTTTTTCCTTATAAATGAGACTAGAGAGAGTATTTAATATATAATTATTTTATTTTAAATTAAAATAAGTTATAAAGATTTAAAGTGGATTTTTGTTAAAATAATAAAGATAAAAGTGAAAGAAAAAATGACAAATTATAAACTATAAACTAAAATGCTATTTGAAATAACGTCGAAAAAATAAACTATAAACTTATAAAATAAATTATAAACTCGTGATAAAAAACTGTTATCAAATAAATTTAAATTGTCATATAATCTTATAAAGAGTAAATATTTTACCAAATAGATTCTTAAAACACTTGTTGAGGAATAAAATATAAAACTTTGTTTTACCAAAAATAAATATAAAACTTTGTAATATTTGAAGCTTTGAGTTTTAAAATTACTTTTTGAAACAAAAATTCTAAATAAAGTTGTTATCTTTAGCTTTGTTCAAGTACACAAAAGAATTCTTATATTATTTGACAATCGAAATTAAGTAATTTATATATAACATTTACACTTCTTATTTCAACAAGAAACATTTTTCAAATGACAAAATTGTGACAAATACTTATATTCAAAGAGAACAATATTTTGTAAACGCAATAGTCAACATCAATTTAACAAATATCCATAGTTGATACACTTTCTTGTATTTTTTATTTAGATTTAGTATATATAGGTTGTGACCCCTTTATTTTATTTTTTTGTAATTTTCTTTTTTTAATTAGGCGTGCTTTTATTCCATTGAAAAAAAATATAAAAATTAAGGGGATAAAGAGTTAAAACCTCAGATTTATTTAATTTTAAAATTAGGTAAATCTAACTCATTTCTATTGAAGTCTGAATATATAATTGAATGAATATTATCTCACCAAATAAAACTAGCAGCACCTGAGTCTAAGTTAGCAAACTTATCTACAAAATCATTTCCTTCCTTCATTTCTTATATATATCCTGCTTAAGTTAGCTTTGTTATTCTTAGTTGGTCTCAAGTCCGGATAAAAGAAGAGAGTTGTGTTAGGATTTCGAAACCCAATGTAAAACTTTGTCGAATCTCTATGACATGGATCAACTAAGTAATAAGGTGAATGTTAGGTTGTTGCCCGTAAGCAACGCACTGTATGGTTCGACTACAATGTCAAAAGAGCAAGGGTCACTGCATCGCCCCCCGGATGTAGTGAAAAATAAGCAAGAGTTCTCACACTTTCGTGAACAGGTGTGGATAAAGAAGCAAGTTCATGAAAGGAGGATTCGCTTTGGTTCATGAAATATAGGCACACTCACGGAAAAATCTAGGGAAATAATGGATGTTATGGTTAGGAGGAAAATCAATTTTATGTGCCTACAAGAAACTAAGTGGACAGTGAAGAAGCGAAGGAATTAGAGAACTCGGGATTTAAGCTTTGATATACTGGAAAAATTAGATCAAGAAATGGAGTGGAGATTATTGTGGATAAGGAGTGGAAGAAGGATGTTCTGGATGTGAGAAGAGTAGGAGATCGAATCATAGCCTTGAAATTTATGGTGGGACAAGATACTTTTAATGTTATTAGTGGGTACGCACCTCAGGTTGAGTTAGCAGAACACTTTAAGGTAAAATTTTGGGAGGATTTAGAAGGGGTACTTAAGGATATACCCCAAAGAGAGAAGATTTTTCTTTGAGGGGATCTCAATGGACATGTAGGTAGCGTGGTGTTGTACCCCAAAATTTGCCTTCTCATTTCTCAAGATATTTCCTACAAAGATCTTCAATGCCTCGAGTTTGTGCGAGTACCGACTATGTCAAACAAATTCCTCAACGCTAATGCCTCAAATTAGGTTTTGAATCTGTACAGAGATATTCAAATTTCTAATGCTTCAAACGACTTTCACTGATCCTCATGGATCCTTAGAATTACTTCAGTCAAGTTTCAAGCCTCAGATCACAATTTTCTAAGAAAATCATTCAAATTATCAAAAGGAGGAAAATGAGCAAAGTTGAAGTTTCAGCTGGAAAAAGTCAATCGGACGCTAAAAAAGTCAAACTTTGACTTTTTGATCGAATTTGAGTCCCAAAAATCACATTGCGTCAAGACATCGAAAATGTGAAATTTGATCATCAAAAATCAAGAGAATTAAAAATCCAACTTTTGCAAGACTTTGGAATTTTTCTAAGTATTTTCTATACTTGTTAATTTCATTTGCTTCATGATATTTTTTTACTACAATTCCAAATAATTTAAGATGAGGCAAATAATTCAAGTTATTACAAAGTGACATTTTTTGCATGTTTACAAACCCTAAACTTGATATTGCTTGGACTTTTCCCTTTGACTCAAAACCTTGTTACAACGTTTTGTCCTTGATACAATGTGCATAAAATACTCCACAAAACTAAACTTGTTTCATGCTACAAATCTTGTTGTCCAAGTTGAACAAAGTGTGATATGCTGCATTGCCACAACACCCCAAAACCTACTCCATTGTTGTCCTACAAAAAACCTTGTGCTATGCTGCACCACAAATCTGTATATGCTGTCCTATACAGTCCAAAACTGTTTTATGCAGTCTGCCCCAACCTGCATCATAACAGCCCCAAAATTGCACCAAAATGGCAAAAGAAAATTGTGTGAATATAGTATCAAAACAGTAGGCAAAAACAATTCAAAATAACTTATTTTGTTTCCCCCTAAACCTCAGTCAAGGGTCTACAAAAGGGACTGTTTCATAAGACATAGGGGTTGGAATTTTTGGAGAGAATAGAGAGTCTTTGAACAGAAAAACAGTATTCTTTATAACTTTGGCTCACTCAAGAAAAAAACAGCTCTAATCTTATTCAAAACAAAACTTCCATCCATTATTCCATCTTACAAACTCCCCCATAAACCAAACACCTTAGCACAAAGAGATTGTAAAAACACTAAAGCAGTTTCTGTTAGTGCCATTATCCTCACCATCCAAACATAAAAACAATATTGTACAACTTGACTGAGTTTCAACAGTTTGGAATAAGCTTCCTGGAGATTCATTGGAGCCCTCACAGCATCTTGAAAAGTATTCAGATTCCAAACACCAAGTGTAGTTTCAAGGTAAGTCTTCTTGACTTGGTATTTTTCATACATCATTAATGATTTATTTTTAAAGATAAGTTGTAGTAGTCATTGCCCTTTTTAGCTAACCGTTTGCTTGTTGTTTATGTTTATCAATCATATGGTGTAAACTGACATGCATGGACAATAAAACAATGTTTAAGGCAGAAAAACACAGTATGTATCGATACATACACACATGCGTCGACTCATCCTAGTAAACAATAGGGTATGACTCGATACATAAACCCCATGCATCGATTCATACTGATTCCATGTCCCAAAACAGAAGGTTGAAAAGTCTATGAGTCGACACATTCCATTATGTGTCGGCTCATACTGAGCTAATCTTTCTTTACAGGAGCAACGAAAAGTTATGTGTCGATGCCTAACAGCATGTGTCGACACATAATAGTTTAAAAGGCAGTTTCTCCCATTTTCTACAATGTTTATGCATATATTTTCATTGCTGGCCATTAGTTCGATGTGGTTGTAATAATTAGACATTTATTTCATCCCTGTTTGCAAATTGCACCCCCATCCCCCTAAAGATGTAATAGCTTAGGATTTTATTTTCCGTATTTTATTTTTGCTTTCATATATTGCTAGTAATTAGTATGTATGAAAAGATAAAATCAACAAATAGATAACCTTTAAATGCAAGACAAAATGTATACAAACAAACACACTTGCACACACGCACCCTTAGGGTAATCTCACTTGTCGCCTATCGGAAATTAGTCATGTCCCTCTAACATGGGCACTTTTAGAAAAAGACCCTCGATAAAAGATCGTAGTCCCTCGATTACCCTCGATGTTGCCTTCGGTAAACGATCTAGTCCCTAAAACGACATTGCTAAAACGTTCCACGGGTTGCCTTCTATGACTATACAAACGTCCCGCGCCTGTCCCTTCACATCCAACGATTGGGGCTTCTTACCAAAACAATGGTAAGATAGCAACATCTAAAAGAGGAGGAAAAGAATATCTAAAACTTTTCGAGTAGGTAGATTCGCTCCTAGTTGCTCGCTTGCTCACAACAAAATATTTTATATACCAACACACTCATTTGAAACATTTTCAAAAGACAAACACTTTGTACGCATTCTTATAGAAACGAGAGCCATTACAAAGAAGACACCTTTCCAAAATCACTTTCAAAAACACATCCCACAAACACCTCTTTGAACTGTTTTTGAAACAAAACTTTGTACGCGTTCTTATAGAAACGAGAACCATTACAAAGACGTTTTCAATATACTTTCAAGACTCACACCACAAACACACATTCAAATAAAAGCAAGTGATCTAGCAAGCAACTAAGATCCCATGGAAAACCATGGATGAAAAGGGTGATAATACCTTCCCTTTTCATAATCTACCCTCCAAACTCAAGAAAACATCTTTAAAGGTCTCTCATGTCCTTTTCAGACTTTCCTTTTGGATAAAAGAAAAGTCGGTGGCGACTCTTGCTAACCGCAACATTTGCGAATACAAACGCAAAACATCCCAAGTCAGTTCTCTCACCGTACCACAAGTGGCAAGAGGTTTTAAGAGTGTGCATGGGGGTCTTAGCCCAGGGAAGGTGAAAGCGGAGGGTAAGTCCATCTTGGAGTTTTCATCAACTTTATATTTTTCTATAGCCAATACATGGTTTAGGAAAAGAGATGAACATCTTATCACATATAAAAGTGGAGGGATATGTTCTTAGATAGATTTCTTTCTTATTAGGAAGTCTGATAGGAAGTATTGTTTGAATTGTAAAGTTATCTTGGGAGAGAGCTTGACTACCCAATATAGAGTTTTGATTATGGATGTAAGAATTAAAGAAAGGGCAAAAAGAAGAAGTCATATGGTAGCACCAAAGATCAAATGGTGGTATTTGAAGGGTGAGAAACAAGGAATTTTCCAACAAAAGATATGGGAGGGATGGTTTGGACAATTACAAGGAAGTGCAAATGATATGTGAAATAAGATGGCCCAAGAGATTAGAAAAGTGGCTAAAGAGGCGTTGGTTGAATCTAGAGGTTTTGGAACTAGGGGTAAAGAATTGTGGTGGTGGAATGAAAGTGTACATAGCAAAGTTAAAGTAAAAAAGGACTGTTTTAAATAGTGGTCTAGGTGTAGAAATTCTGAAACTTGAGAAAAGTACAAGAAAGCTAAAAATGAAACCAAAAAGACATTGAGTGAAACAAGAACTCAAGCTTTTGATGGACTATACCAATCTCTAGGAATCAAGGAGGGAGAAAGATCTATATATATGCTTGCTAAGGTAAGAGAAAGAAAGACTAGAGATTTGGATCAAGTAAAGTGTGTTAAGGATGAAAAAGGCAAAGTCTTAGTGCAGGAAAAAGATATAAAGGATAGATGGAAGGAATATTTCCTCAACTTATTTAATGAGGGATATGTGTATAACTCTAGCTGACTAGACATAAGAGAAGAAGATCAAAACTATATTTACTATCGTCGGATTCAGAAATAGGAGGTAAACGAAGCGTTTTAAAGAATGAGTAACGGTAAGGCGGTGGGGTCAGACAATGTTCCTATTGAAGTGTGGAAATTCTTGGAGATAGAGGTATTGAGTGGTTCACCAAACTCTTTAATGAAATTATGAGGTCAAAACGCATGCCGAATGAATGGAGGAGAAACATTTTAGTTCCTATCTCTAAGAACAAAGGGGATATACAAAATTATGCAAATTATAGGGGAGACAAGCTTATGAGTCATACCATGAAATTATGGGAAAGAGTGATTGAACGAAGATTAAGAAAAGAGACACAAGTTACTGAGAATCAATTTGGTTTTATGCCAGTAAGGTCGACCATGGAAGCAATTTATCTATTACGGTGGGTGATGGAGCAATATTGAATTGACTAACAAGACTTGTACTTGATTTTTATTGACTTGGAGAAGGCCAATGATAGAGTTCCTAGAGAAATTATGTGGAAAGCTCTAGAGAAGAAAGGGGTTAGGGTTGCATATATTCGAGTTATCCAAGATATGTATGAAAGGGTATCGACTAGTGTTAGGACACAAGGTGGAGAAACAAACGATTTTTCTATCCCAATTGGTTTGCATCAAGGGTCAACCCTAAGCCCTTACCTTTTTACCTTAATTTTGGATGTACTCACGAAACAAATCCAAGAGATAGCGCTGAGATGCATGTTTTTTCCAGATGATATAGTCCTCCTTGAAGAGTCGAGGGAGAACTTAAATGAGAGGATGAAGACTTGGAGAAGAGCTTTAGAAACACATGGTTTTCGCCTGAGCAGAAGTAAGTTAGAGTATATGGAATGTAAATTCAACAAAAGAATGAGGGTTTCTAACTTAGAGGTGAAAGTAGGAGACCATATTATCCCTCAAGTCACACGGTTTAAATATCTTGGGTCCGTAATACAAAATGATGGAGAAATAGAAGGGGATGTAAATCATCGTATTCAAGTTAGATGGATGAAATGAAGAAAGACATCGGGTGTTTTATGTGATGCAAAGGTACCGCTCAAGCTAAAGGGAAAGTTTTAACAGACTGCGGTAAGACCTGCGATTTTGTACGGAACAGAATATTGGGCGGTTAAGAACCAACACGAGAATAAAGTAGGTGTAGAGGAGATGCGAATGTTGTTGTGGATGTGTGGCAAGACTCGACAAGATAAAATTAGAAATGAAATTATTAGAGAAAGTGTTTGAGTAACGTCTATTGTAGAGGAGATGGTGGAAAATAGACTTAGGTGGTTTGAGCATGTAGAGATAAGACATGTAGACTCTGTCGTAAAGAGAGTAGACAAGATGGAGAGAAGACAAATAATTCGAGGAAGAGAAAGATCCAAAAAGACTATAAGAGAAGTTATCAAGAAGGATCTCGAAATTAATGATTTGGATAAAAGCATGGTCCTTAATAGAACATTATGGCAAAAGTCGATCCATGTAATCGACTTCATTTAATAGGATAAGACATATTTGTTTTTGTTTATATATATATATATATATATATATATATATATATATATATATATATATATATATATATATATCAAAAAATTAAAATTACATTCAGATACAATTATCCTATTTGTTCCTTAATTTCTAAGACACAACAAAAAATTTACTATAAGCTTTAACAATTAAAACAAAAACAGTCTCCAACATAATTTATCCTAAGTTTTACTAATAGCGTATTTCATTGCTATAATACTACGTATAACCTATTTTTTTGAGATACTTTTTAAAATGAAATTTAAATTCATTTTACTAAATGTTGTTTACAATGAAAGAAGAAAAACATGAAAAAGAGTAAATTACGATAGCAATATAGAGAAATATATATAAAAAAAGTAAACAAAATATATTGCCTCATTTTTTAATAAAAAAATATATTGTTGAAGTAAGTATTAACAAATGCTCATTTAATAAAAGTGATCAAGTATGAGTATTTTCTGATATATTTTTATATTATTTATCTTTGATATTTTTAATTTTTTAATGTTAAAAACTGTGGATTTTTTCTAGAGAGTACAAAAGTTCATGTATAATAATGTTGTATCCTCTAAAATTATAAATATAATTTTTAAAAAGATTAATTTTACCATTTAAAAGAAAACAGCGATGCAGTTTGTTATCAGTTTGTTTGTTATTTCTGTATAAATTTTCAATAGTTATCATTTAATAAATAATATTTGACTTATTATTTTTCTTTTTATCAAATAGTTGAGTAGACAGAATTTCACAATTTAAAAATAAACAACATTTATTAAAATGTCATAAATTTGAACTAATGCCCCTATATTTGAATGACCTTATAGGACTATCAATTGAGATAGTTTAATAGAAGAAAAATATATTTAATTTATATTTAAAATCAAAATAAGACCCAAAGGACTAGAGTTATAAGTGTTTGTTCTTGCAACACAAAACCCAATGAATCTTTGAAACTGTTAAACATATACTTAGAATCGATTTAAGTCAGCAAAGTATTGATTAACAAAGAAACCCTAGGGAATAATTTTGTCAGAAATTCAGTCAGTAACTAGCTTGGGAAAAATAAGCCCAGCAGCATAAAAGCACCAACGTGTGGATTTCGGTTTTACCAATAACAACAACAGAAAAATGAAATTAAATAGTAAAAAATTCATCTACAATCGTGAAGAATGAACAGTGTCACTTCTAAATAGACACTTATCAAAAAGGAAAAGAAAAACCTAATTTTTATTATTTTTTTAAAACATTTTCTTTAAAAAAAATAAATAAAGATAAGAATCTAGGATAGTAGAGATTAGGGTTCTGTAGATGAAGAAAGAAATATCATAAATTTTCTCTCTGGGTCCCTTTTTCTGCTCCCATGATTTGAAAGCATGTGAGATTTTTGGTCAAAATTTTCTGCATCTCTTCAGAAACACTTGAGTTTACGAATTTCAAGAACTTCATAACCCCTTACTCGCACATTTATTCATACCTAGAAACTAGTACTCCATAATCCACAATTAATTAATTGATTAATCATTTTTTCACATAATTTCAGTGAAGTTAATTAATTAATAATAATAATAATAATAATAATAATAATAATAATAATAATAAATAATAATAAAAATAATAAAAACACTCACCTGGGAAGATCCTAAGGGGTCCATTACAAAGCATATTTAGCTGAGTTTCAATTCTTCTCATGAAATCCATAGCTTCTTGTATTGGCCTTGTTAGTTCTTCTCTATACTTCACAAGCATATCATAATATGCTTCCTATTAACACACAAAATATTGTGATTAATAAATCTATAAATTTTATATAAAAATAATAATATTATCAAAATAATTACCATGAATTGGTCTAGCTCTGGATCTTTTGAAGATTCTCTTGAGTTAACTGAAGATCTTTGTCTTGCTTCAAATTCTTGCCTTGCTTCAAATTCTCCCACCATACGAGCCACCACATCTGGTGGTGCTCCAATCTACACATAATAAAAAAAAAATATTAATATTAATATATATATATATATATAAAAATTATCTATATGTTTTTGATTAAATTATTATAATGATGAGAATCTTAGACTAAATAATGAAAAAATAATAATGATTGGTAATAGTGACCTTTTGACAATCCATGTAAGCTTGTAAGAGACTAGAGTATTGAGGATGAGCAATGATTTTGGCTTTTATAGCATCAGCTTCATTAGAGCTACTAGGACTTCCTCCTCCACCTTGTTGATGATGATGATGATTCATAATTGTTTGTGGAATAATATTTGTTCTCATTAAATTAGGGTAATGAAAAATTGGAGTATGAAGTTGTGAAGTACAATTAGATTCAGTTTTCACAGCACTTTGTTGTTGATGATGATGGTGATGTACTTGTTCCGACTGAAAACAATTTTCCGAACCTCTTGATTGAAGATGAAAGGTGTTGTTCATTGGAATCTGATTATACAAGAAATTTGGCCTTGGATTTGGATTTGGATTTGGATTATTAGTGTATTCTTCCATTTAACAACTCTATAAATAAATACTGAAACCCTACTTTGGAAAGTTTAAGAACTTGATTGAAACCCTAGAGAGAAAACATGGTAGAGATTACTATGAATGGTAAGGACAAGAAAACATGACACAAGTGTGGTTTTGTGTGTGTTGAAAGGGTTCAAGAGGTTTGAAAAGTTTTAGGATGGTGAAGGTATAGATTTTGGAGCATTGACAGGGTGGAGAAGATAGAAACCAGCAACACCTTCATATGATGTGTTGTATGGAGAGAGAAAGAGAGAGAGGTGGCTTAGTTGAAACCGGCAATGTCTTCAAGATAGGAGTGGTTGACAAGACTATGTTTTCTTGATGGAAATAAATTAATATTTACATATTTAAATATTATAAAAAATTCAATTCAATTATACACATGTAACATAGTTAATTTCTCTTGAGACATATATTTGATTTATTTGTTAAAGTTATTTTTCTTTGCTTTTAAATCTATGTAGTTTGTCCCCCTAATTGATTTTCCTTTTTGGGTTCTTGATCAATTGTTTATTACATGGTTCAAAGGAAGAACTGATGAGTGGTGTCATGTGTGTGGATTTGTATATTGTTAATTGTGATTATAATATGTATTCAATTTAATTATACAAACAAGCTCTCACTTTTCAATACGATTTATTAATGTATATGTCATATCAATCAAGTATTTTGTCCTTAAGAACAATTACTTTAAATTTTTTAATGAAGTGCAAAGTTTTTTTTTTTTAATTGTCGATTCTATCTTGCAGTAGGATTTGGTGGTACGTTGTTCATGCCATTTATTTACCATTTAATGAAATGGATCCATTAAATTTAATGGTGAAATGGAATTTTTATTTTTTATTTTGCACGGTCTTCAATTTACGTAATTAATTAATTAATTTGATTCGTACTGCAAAAATAAAAATTTAAAAGTAAATAATATTTTATAAAATTATTTATTTATAATTAAAATATTATTATGTTTAGTTTAAATACAAATTTAAAATATTTAATTAATTCAATGTAATATTAGATATGAAACCTGAATATCAAAAATATTAAGCGTCTACAAAGACAATGAAGTCTGAATTACAAGTTTGAGGGGTGAATTCGAGCTTCTCTGCATGAAAAAATATGATAATTACTTTGCCATAATATTGGTAAGTATCAACAAGATGAAGATCAATGGTGATAAGATGGAATAAATTACCATTGTTGAGAAAATTCTCAGTTCCATATGCTTTAAATTTGACTATGTCGTCTATGCCATTGAGGAATCAGACAATGTTGAGATCCTCTTCGTTTACAAACTACATGATTCCCTCTTAGTTCATGCTTAAAAGATGAAATTTGTCAATAAGAAAGACTGGGTCTTGACCATCCCTAAAGAAGCACAAATGGAAGGACGAGGGAGTGGTATGGTGCCTTGGAAAGTGCTCAAGATAGAGGAAAAAGATTAACAAAAGTACAATGTATTACTACAAATGTCATAAGTTAGGTAACTTTTTGAAATAGTATCCTAACGTTGAAGAATGTGCAAACCATGTTGAATATGAGAAAGACATGTTACCATGACCTATGAAGTTATGAAAATAACTACACCAAGAATCACATTTGGTTCTTAGATTTTGGGTGTAGCAATCACATATGGGAAATTAAAGCATCCCTTTTCAATTCTTGACTCAGAGTTCGTAGAAATTGTGGATTAGGGCATAATTCCCATATGCAGGCCATGGGCAAAGGCAGTACCAATTTACACATTAATGTTATTCTTCAGGGTATCACTGATGTCTACTATATCTCTGTACTTAAGAACAATTTATTAAGTATAGGTCAACTCCAACAAAAGAAGTTCACAATTGTGTTTAAGTAGGATGTGTGTAAGGTTTTCATTAGAATGAGGAATTTCTTCACTACTACGGAAAATCCATATCACAACGGTTGAAAAAGGGATACCATAACACCTTACCAACCACTATGTGGTAAGGTGTGATTATATGTCTGGTGCTTTCCACCACGGTTGCGAGACCGAGATAATAAATGCTTAGCCTGGTAGTACTCCAGTTTGAGATCTTCATGCCTGACTCAGGTTGTATAGCCGGAGGCATATGTGGTCGGTCATAGAGAAAGATGAAGAGGTGCCATCCAGGCTTATACCCAGACATTATCTCTGGATCTAGAAAGGTCAACGAAGAAAAGAGAAAGGTGATAGTTGAAGAGGTGGGTAAATTGATGAAGGTCAGATTCATCGGAGAGATCAAGTATCCTACCTGGCTATCCAATGTGGTAATGGTTAAAAAGAAAAATGAGAAGTGGTGAATGTTCTGAGACTTCACCGACCTCAATAAGGCATGTTCAAAGGATCTTTATCCGCTACCTCATATTGATCGACTGATCGACGGAGCTTTTGGGTTCAGGTTGCTGAGCTTTATGGATGCTTATTTTGGGTATAACCAAATATGTATGAACCAGTTGGATGCATCAAAGACAACATTTATGATAGATTAGAGTAACTATTACTACAAGGTTATGTCGTTCGATTTGAAGAATGTCGGGGCTACTTACCAGAGATTAATGGACATGGTTTTCACTCCACATATTGGACGGAACATGAAGGTATATGTTGACGACATGGTGATCAAGACTGTTGAAGAACAGAGGCATGTTCAGGATCTGGAAGGGACTTTCGTGGCGGTGTGAAGTTATACCATGCGCTTGAACCCGGACAAGTGTACGTTTGGGGTTTAGGCTGGGAAGTTCCTAGGGTTCATGGTCACGAACTGTGGAATAGAAGTCAATCCAGAAAAATGTAAGGCGATCATTGACATGAGGAGCCCAGCATCTATTTGTGAAGTCTAGCAACTAACCGGTCGTTTGGCTGCCTTATCTCGTTTTCTATCTTGTGCAGGTGAAAAATCAATTCACTTTATTGCAACAATTAAAAATAAGGCTGACTTTGAGTGGACCGACGAATGCGAAAGAGCTTTCCAAGAAGTCAAGCAAATCTTGTCAGCTCCCCCTATATTTGTTCCGCCTAAGGAAAATACACATCTGGTGCTTTATCTAGCAGTATCAGATAAATCCATAAGCTTGGTTCTAGTCTAAGACGGGGAGTCAGGTTAGAGGCTGGTTTATTTCGTCAACAAGGTACTACGAGGGGCAGAGCTTAGATACCAGAAGATTGAGCGACTAGCTTTGACGTTGGTGGTAACAGCAAGAAAATTCATTATTTCTAAGGTCATCTTATCCTGGTGAAAACAAATTTGCCAATAAAGCAAATTTTGAAGAAGTCGGACCTAGTAGGACGGATGGTGGCATGGGTTGTGGAACTCTCAGAATATGACATAAAGTTCACTCCATGCACTAGCATAAAGTCTCAGGTGTTGGCCGACTTTGTGGTAGAACTGAGTGCTCTGATGAATGAAGAGGCGTCTACAAAATGGGTTTTGTCCGTGGATCGATCATCCAATCTGAGGGGTAGTGGGGATGGTATTGTGTTAGAAGGACCAAGCGACTTGGTCCTGGAATATTCGTTGTGATTTAATTTCCAAACTAGCAACAACTAAGTTGAATATGAAGTCTTGATTTTCAAAATGAAACTAGCTAAAGAGGTTGGGATTACCCACCTGCTTGTCCGGGACCGATTCACAGTTAGTGGTTGGGCAGGTTGGGGGAGACTTCAAGACCAAATATCCCATTTTGCTAAAATGTGTACAATAGGCTATGCAACTGTCAAAGGAGTTCCAGGAGTTTACAATATGCACTGTACCTAGAGAATAAAATACATGAACCGGTCTGTTAGCTTGGCTAGCTAGCACAAGAGGTTCAGGTCTGAACAAAATGGTGATTCATGAGACATTGGAATTACCAAGTATAGAGAAAGGATAAGTACTCGTTGTAGAGGAGAATGTGGGTGGATGACCCCCATAATCAGATATTTGCTATAGAGGGAACTTCCATCTGACAAAGAAGAGGCAAAGCGTGCGAAGAAGATCTCAACGAGATACATATGTTACGTTGTGTCTCAGAAGATGACATGAACTTGGTAATTAAAGAAGTGCACAAAGGCATATGTGGGAGCCACATCGAGGGTCGTTCCTTGTCCATCAAAATATTGAGGGTTGGGTACTATTGGCCGACTATGCTCAGAGATTACGTCCGGTTTGTAGGCTGTTGTGATAAATGTCAGCTATTGTTCTTGCTAAAACCCAAATTATCGACTTCCCCGCTAGTTGGAGAACGCCAGGGAGAGCATTGATAATGTGAGAGTATGTTGTTTATGATTTCGAGGGATTCAGAGGCTTACACGAGTATGCATAAACTCCAAGCAATATGTCTTGTTTACCCCTCAGTCGAGAGCCCTATATATAGAGGTGCATGAACCTCAATGATTACTGCATGTAACTTCTATAAATTTCCATGTTATGCAATTGGGTTGCCTTAAAGGCAAGTAACGCCTGGCGTTGCCAATGATGGCTATTATCATAATGTGCACCGTCGTATAATGATGAGCGATTACGCCCTCAATGGACCGGTCATTGCGTAACGACTCCATTAAGGTCGGGCTTAGGGTAACTTCTGGATCCATGGTATGAGCCCTCTGCTTCCTCTTCATCTTCTTCCATGGCTGATTACATGACCCTCCGATCCCACAACCCGGTATGGCCTTATGATCTCGACTCGGGATGATAACCGATCGATTGTCTACTTGAATGTCTCGGTCTTTCAACTATGCCTTGCCTTTTATCTCTTCTAGACCAGACAATAGATCTATGTATGAACATAAGCCCCAAGATCATATGGCTTTTACCAGAAGCCTTATGGTCGGTCAGCGTAGAAATGGATCTATGCTCCGGGATGGGCCTCTAAGACCGGGCGATGATACCTCAGTGTGCGTGTTACTCACGCCCTAGTTTCTCAACACTCCCCTAGTCCCTTAGGAGTAATCATTGCTAAGGAAAACTTTTCTTTTTATAAAAACCTTTCCTTTTCTATTTCCG